TCTTAATCAGGATATTAATAAGGAACTAGCAGTTTATGAAGCTTTTGGAATAATCCACCAATTTTTTAAAATTAAACACTATCTAAAGATTTGCATCGAAGCGTTTTTTTTTTATAGTGATTTTAATCACTGTCAGATATCATTATACTTGATCCAACTATGCCACGTCACCACTGTGCCGCGACCCCCCTGTGCTGGGTTTTTTTTTTTTCTTTCTCTCTTTTCTTTATTTCATGAGCTGACAGTTTCCTCGGGTGTCGTCAGGGTGGACATGGTGAACATCTCAATGAGTCCTCTACATTTATGTCATGCTCATGTTTTTCCTTTTTGTTCTGTTATATTATATTGTAGTTATGACATTTGAAATTTAATATAATCCAGCAAGTAATTTATTCCAGTTAATATAGTTTTATAGCTGGTGACTAGTTCTTATCAGGAACACTGACGTGATAAAAAAAAAAAAAGATAGATTATTATGTTCATACTTTATTAGTCATGAATTATGGTACTTTATAAAGAACACCGGCTATTTGAATGCCGGACTGTCTATAGACAACTTGTATATAACATTAGTATCAATCACTATATATTGTCTTAACTTTTAATTATAAACAGACTATAAATTCCTCTGATATCTTTGACCATAACTAAATTACTATTAATCTATTCAGTATCTTACTGTAATGTTGTTTTTGTTCCCTATATTTTCCCTTTTATTTGGGACCTATGTTTTTAATTAATTAATTTGTTTTTATGTACAATTCTCTTTCAAATATTTTTATTATATTATAAGAACAAGAAATAAAATTGCTTGTAATGTGTAATAAATTTTAATGACTGTTCTAAATCATATTTTATAAATGACCTTTTCCCCTAGTATAAGGTACCAAAATCCCTGGTGCTCCGGCACTGCCTCGGCCCAGGGTGGACCCTCTTCTGGGTTCTTGTAAGTTTAGCTTACAAGTATTTTAATAGTTTCTTTTAGTTCTATTGATAGTTCCAAAAATCAATAGAAATACAAAATTTATGAAAAAATTATTATTGTAAGAGAAATGAATGAGAATTATAAAAGAAACACAACAAAAAAGATACAATAATGTATATTTAATTAAATACATTAAATTTGAAATTAAAATAATAAAGTATATTTTGTTTTGTCATAATTATTTACATATTTTTAAATTTAACTAAATATGGCATATCACAAAAAATGAAAAAAAAAATAATTTGGCATTACTTTACAAGTATTATTTTACAGAATCGAAAATAATTGTAGAGTATCATTGTATGCCAGACACTATTTACAACTAGGTATTAATTAACCAAAAATTAATTAATACTAATTTTTTTGTGTTATTGTTGAAAATGCTGTAAAAATATAAATAATTTCTTTAATATAATTTTACTAAACATCCTCTACATTAAATTTTAAAGAACTTCGAAACATTCATAACAATTTACGACATATTCATTTGGTTATGTCCGATTACCAACTTCGATTTTATGGTTCATATAAAAAAACCATGGGATTTGTTGAACTATGAAATAAGTCTTTAAGTGTTGAGATAAATAGAAAAATATTTGTTTTTCTTACCCTAATTATAAATAAATTAAATAATTTAGTTTTCAACTTTTATATAAACTAAAAATAATAATATTTAAGTTGATTTAAATTGAAAATTACAATAAACAATATTTTGTGAAAATCATGCAGCCAAATAAAAATTTAGCAAATTAAATCTTGTTTTTTAAAACGTTGTTACTCTTCGAAGTTTTAAACTCAAATTTGACATTCTTCTGTGTTTATTCTTTTGTAATAAACTGTCTGTTGATTGAAACTCATCGATTGGATAGTCAACAAACCCACTTTCGGGCCTAAATAATGGAAAGGCATCTGTATCTTGCTGTAACTCGAACCATCGAGCCATTTTTGAACCGGGACTTAGCTGTGAACAATAAAAATATTTATTTATTTTATTTATTTACCTTTTTAATTAGTAAGAATAATATTGTACAGTAAAAACACTTTTTGTTTAGTAAAAAAATATCTTATTATTTTTAGTAGTAAATTTCCTGTAGCATTTTATAATATGTAAATATTTGAATTTTTTTACAATATCCAACTTTGAAATATGTTATGAAAAGGACATAAAAAACGTAATATATTTATGATAAATGGTATTAAAAGTTGTTTAACTTTCTTCATAAAATTTATCATTAGTCTACAATTGAATAAGCGCCTGTAATTGAACTTAAAAATTCGAATAGTGATATTATTTCGACAACTGTGCCACGACTCCATTCTGCTAGGTTTTTAATAAAACAATCAATACTAAATGTTTTAATTTTAAATGGTCAGCCATTCTTAAGATACGATATATATTATATATATATTGTCGTATATCTAATGTTTAAGACAAGAAAGATAATTAATAGTTCTTTACAAATAGTGAAAATTTGCTATCTACATGTAAATAATTTTGATAATCGACTATCAATAGCCGACAGATATCTAGGACTTTTAATTTAACTTTATAGGTTAATAAATCTTTTAATAAAATCTTTATATAACCAATGATCATTTCCTAAGGGAATACTTATAAATAAAAATAATTCACTTAGTATAGATTTGTATCAAAGCGTTTTATACAATTAAATATTATTTTAATTACTAATTTCTAATTTGAACATTTGACAACTCGTCAAGAATTATATACCAGGAGAGAAGGATTTTAATTTACTTTTGCCCGATCTGATCTATTGCAATAGACACAAATAAACATTTTAAAGCAATCGGTTAAAAAATACCAGCTTAAAACTATTTTCCAAACTACAATTAAAACAATAACGAATAGACGATTATATGCTAGGACCTAGACAACTTTGGTGGCTACTCATCAGTTTTTAGTGAATTTACGCATGTTCTGGACTATCTTTTAACAATGATTACATAGATTAACTTATTAACATCTGGCTTGCGAAACTAGAGGCACTAACACACGAATGTTCTAACTGACGCTCTGCTGGACTGAGACTGCCCCGTCGTGGTATGGTACACAGTTAGGGTTGGCTGCCTTAGACTGAAAAGGCTAAGTCAGCAAATTCGATTATACTCGACCGAGGTCAACACCAATATATTAACGCTTTTAAAATTAACAAAAAATAAATAAAAAACAAGACATAAAAAAATACAGTAGTATCAAATTAGTCGCTTTGAATTTGAATTCAAGTGTTTGGTAACTTAAAAAAATTTAATTTAATCTATCTTTTAATTTTATATTAATGAGATATTATACTCTTAGATTTAAGTTAGAAAGTAGAGGGACCTTATGTCAATTCAAAACTGTAAACGGTATTTTGGTTTCAAAATTATCAAAAATATACAAGGTGATTGCTGATTTATTGTTAACTGTTAATTTTCACCTAAATAATATATTTGAAAAATGAAATTTTTGTTTTGTTCAGTAGTCATTATTTCATGATTTATACGTGATTAAATATTTTTTAGGTCTATCCCTTATTTCTTATAAAAATACCAATATTATGTTTTTAAATGGCAAAATACACATTTGTACAATAGAAAAATTCAACAAGTTTTAAATATTTTTTATTGAAAGAAAAAATCAAAAATATATTTTAAAACAAATCAAGATCAGTGGAGTCACGTCACAAAAAGGAAAATTATAGATTATATCTGACAGTGATTAAAGTTATAAAATTATTTTTAATGCAAATCTGTAAATTTTATAAAGAATTTTTGAGTTATTTCACCCCTTATAAAGGTTAAATATAATAATATAAATAGGACGAAAGTAATAGTATTGAAAACTATGTCCATAACGGCCACTCAAACACAATTGCACTTTGTTAGTTCGACGTCAGTAGCTCCGGGCTACAGACAAGTAGAATTGTCACATCAAAATCTCCCTCTATGTTAATTAATATGTATTACGAATTAAGTAAATGGAAATAAAACGTATGTAATATAAGTGGTAAGAATATAGTAATAAATGTTTTTACAACAGGTTATATTATTTTTAGGCGGCACTGTGGGGATGTGGTATAGTTGGGTATAGATGATAGCTGACTGTGATTAAAATCACTATCATAAAAAACGCATTGATGCAAATTAGTATATAATCTTTAATTTTAATAAATTAGTTGATTATTCTTAAAGCAAAATTAACTCCTATTTCTATCATTATTTTTAATTAGTAGTTGATTTATAATTATAATTTATGAATAAATATCTATTAATGCAATTCAACGTTGTATGATATTGATATTTAATAATTTAGTATTGTAATTTTTTCGGAGAATTTATAAAAAATTATTAAGTAGTCAATATTTTTACGGTAAATGTGTATAAAAATTGAAGGGCTTGCACACAGATTTTTTTAGAAAATAATTTGTTATTAATTACAAAATAGTGGTCTGTACAATTTTTCATCAGAGTAAAAAAGATACTTTTACTATTCAATTTGTCATGCTAATTTCTATCACCAATAATTATTGATATTATTACTAATTAGTAAAAAACTATAGGATATAACTATAAGGAAATTAGTTTTGAATATTTCAATTGTATCATCTATATAAGCATCAAGAATTACACAGAAATTATTAATATTTCTTTTGAAATGTTTTATTACGATAAAAAAACAATTAAAAACACAAAAAATTGTTTTTAAATTATTACAGATTTTGATTTTTAATATTTTAAAAATAATCAGTGCGAAATATTATTTTTAACCTATTTTTTTGGTATTTTAAAGTTCATTTTTTGAAAGTTAATAATAAAAAAAGATGAATTTATTATTATAACTTTAAGCTAAACTTCAAGTTTGAAATTTACATTATTAATAGAAAATTTTATGAGAGTAAAAAAATAGTATTGTTTAGATTAATATACAGGCAGGAAATTGTATAATTACTATTTACTGTAAATTTATCAGAAAAGTTCATTATTTTTATTGTAATAGATCACTTAAATATAAATTTTTGGCGATTAAAATAATTCTACAATAGAAATATTCAGAACATAATTAATTTTAATAATTTGCTTTAACTATATTAAGTATATTAAGTATATTAAGTATACTAAGAGTATATTAATTGTGATCGTTTGATGTATCGTTAAAAAAAGTTGTTTAAGTGAAAGCTGAGAAAATAAATGAGAACCATAAAAAAAAATCACATAGTAAAAAAACTTTAATATGAATAAGAAAGTTCTTCAAACAAGGGGGCACTAGAGTGATGGGTTCCTTAATATTTATTAAAGTTAGTGACTTTAAATGAGATAAAAATCAAATGATTTAAAAAATTTTTTCTAACTCAAAAACTTTTGTAAGGTATTTTAAAGTAAAATAAAATAAAAAATCGAAAAATTTAACATAAAAATAGCATACGGTAGTAATTTTCACCATAAAGACAAAATAAAGTCCAAAATTTTTTTTTCCATACTAAATTATATTACATAAGCACTAATTTAAGATATATATAAAAGTGTCAGTATTTCTGGAACACTTTCAAAAGTTAATTCTTTGTGAAAAATTTGTCATTTTAAATCCCCCCCTGTGGGCAGGTAAAGGGTCAGATTTACAAAAAAATATACAAAATGATTATACATAAACCTAACGTGTTTATGTAAAAAAAAATTATATTGGTTTGTTAATTTTAAAAAAGTTATGGTAATTTTAGGTGAAAAAAGTTAAAAAAATTTTTTGAGGGTCATGACTTTAACTAGATACGATTTGTGATCTTTTGACGTATCGTTGAAAGAAATCAGTTCGGTGAGAGCTGAGAAAAAGTAGTAACAGTCACACAAAAAAATAAATAAATAAATAAAAAATCATAGTAAAATTAATACCTTCTTAGCTTCGCATCGAATGTAAAATACATGGGACGAACCTAAATAGTTTTTAATCACTTATAGATCAAGAAATAGATACTGATTAAATAAGCTAAAAAATAAATGAATTCCCAAAATAATTATTTTATTAGAAGAAATCGATAAATTAATCTGTTTAAGTTGATACAGTAATTGTGTTTTTTTGTTTATTCATCTGTTAAACTTGCAGATATAAATCTTACCTTTGAAAATTATCAAATACTTTCATCTATATATTAAGATAGTTAATTTTATAATTACATCTTAAGTAATTGTTTAATTGGCATAATTTATTAAAGGAATATGCAAGTATTTGACTATCGGTTCATCATAGTTTTAGACCCATTATTTCTACATTTTTGAAGATTTGGAAACACTTAATTAAAATTATACTTCCTGTTCGATCAATATATTTTACTTTTTCTCAAGTGCTTAGAATTCATTTTCTTAATTTTTATTGTTTATTATTGTTGCACAATCCGGGAATTTTTTTATTTAAATTTTTAAGTAATATTGATAAACAATCAGAGCTAGATAGTAATTTAGTTTATCTTAAATTCAAATATAAAATGTAAATGTATGCAGTCATTTTTATATTGCACTAAACAATATTGTAAAATGTTATATTCACAAAAAAATGTATTATGATATTATATTTACACAAATAAATCATTAAATATAATTAACTCTTAAACTTTTATTTTGTGGTATGCCTAGCCCACGCTGTTCTTTGCACTTCATGCATGAGGTTGCTTTTATTGGAAACCTTTTCACTAGTAGTTCTAGTAATAGGACAATTTTCTACATCGGATAAGGTTTTTTTTCCTGTGGATCTACTATTGCCACTTTTGGATACTCTGAGTAAAGAATTCTGTTTTCCCTTCGGTGGTGGGTCTAATATAGTTGTTTTGGTGACTGAAACAGAATCTTCAACGTTTTTATCTACAACAACAGTTATTTGACGATCGTCAGATAAAGGTTTAATGATACCGTCATTGACAGTACTTTCACCAGAAGTTGATCTATTAGTCACTGGTGATCCAGCAAATGACGAAGCTTGCGAAACTTTATTAATATTCGGCGAAACTGAAGAGTATTGATGTGGCGATTGTGTAAAAAATGATTGAAAAGCCATTCTTTGTTGAAACTGATTAGTGGGCGTATTAGCTATAGAACCAGTTAATGAATGAAGACGTTGAAGTAGCTGTGTCTGAAACTGTTGATCAGTATTTTGTGCTGGTTGGTTAAAATTGAAATCAAAATTTATAGGCAGATGATACGGAGAACGATGACGGGGTGACTGAGGTGGTAAATCCGACAGGTACGACGAAGGAGTAGGTAGGTCACACATCAGTGAGTGCTATATATAAAAATAATTAAATATCAAATTTTGAGGAAAAATTAACTTTTTGTTTAAAAAAAGTTTTACTTATGATTAAAAATTAAATTACAGATGTTAACTAATAAAATTAAACGTACCAAGATCCAGGATATCCAACGGTAGAAATTTACAGTAAAATAGTAAACACACCAAACAACAATCATAGTTAACACAAAACACAACGATTCACGTAGATTTATTAATACTAAATGGGATATACTTAGTAATAACAGGGGTTATTATAAATACATCATTTAGATATTATCCTAAATACAAACTAAATATCCAATATTATCAATTAACAAAAACAAATCATGCTCTTGTTATAATGTTAGTTTAATTTTTTTTTTAATGAGGACTTTACATTAAACTCATTTTTACCTACCGGTGGCAACGAAGGATGTTGTAAATCATTCCTAATCCGCTCTTGATCATGTAACAATGTTACCAAAGACGCAATATGATCCAATAGTTCTTTGTTGTGCACCAAAAGTTGATGAGTTCGAGTCTATAATTTTTAACTTATTAATTTGAATTACATATTAATTTACAATTTTAAAATATTCGTTTATAATTTATAGCAACTGATCATAAGACAATTATTTGTATAACACACAGAAGTTGTTTATTACTTAAAATATTTTAATAATAAATTAGCATAAGATATAATAAAAATAAGTGATACAAATTATATTAAATAAAAACTATAACTACATACTTGAGCTTCCAGCCTTGCGGTAGATTCTGTAGTTAGTTGATCTCGTAACATATGTACTTGTGCTAAAGCGACTTGAGTTTGATGAGTTTGTTGGTCTAATTGTTGACGTAACATCTGCATTTCATGCTGAAGACTTAATGTCGACAGCCCAGTTAATCTATCACTTTTTAATGTATCAGACATAGGAGAAGGATAAACTTCACTATCATTCTATACAAATTTAACTAATATTTAGTAATAATGAATATGATATTTATAAAAATAATATGAAACTAAACTAACCATAGGTGAGGAAAGTCTATGATTCATTGATGAGACTGGTAAAGGTGGAATGATATCTAATCGTAATGGCCGTTGAACATCACTAATGGGTATTTCATCTCTTTTAGATCCGTCCATTGAAGATGCAGATTCATTAATAATTGACCTATCGAGCCTGCCTTGATTTTCAAATATATCTAAACACATTAAGAAATTAATTCTATTAAGAAATTATAATAAAAAATAAAGAAAAAATACTAAAAATATATAACTATAATATTATTAAAAAAAAAAAATTATCTTTACAATAAAATTAATAACTTAAATATTATTTTGAGATTTCAAACTTCTTAAAACTGTTCTTTCAAAAATGAAAATTATTTTATAAATAAATATCTGTGTTTAAGTAATTAGATAGAAAACACAAAAAAATTATAGATGTTTAAAAAAACAAATAACATAAACATTCAGGCTTTAGGATGGTACTATTGAATTAAATCTTTGTGTAAATATTTCGTCAATAAAAAACAACAATTTTAGTCCCACTATTTCATTTTTGTGTCTCAATTAGCTTCTCCAAAACGCATAGAATAATTTTAAAACTTAGTTAGGTTAAGTAGTATGTCACAACTGTGACGTTGAGGCGCATTTACACGTATAGGGCAAACATCCAATAAGTTTGACGTCAACTAGCTTGCGACTAGAATAGAACATTTTACTGCCCACACTTTATTTAAAAAAAGGAGTTGAACAAGAATTAAAACCATAATATTACTAGATATGTAACAAAAACTATAAGAAACTCTTTACAATTAATAGACATTAAAAGTCAATCATAAAATAAAGCCACTTAGGTTCATGGTAATTAATGAAAACAATTTTTTCGTATATAGACAAATTATTTAAGTAATAATTTGATTATTATCCATACTCGCTATTAAACATTACCTATTTGTTCTATAAAACTGTCAGATATCATCTATACTGGACCCAACTATGCCACGACCCCACTGTGCCGCCACCTCACTGTGCTGGGTTTTTATTTTTTTGTTATGTTGCTTATGAGGGTTAACCCTATGTCAGAATGGATGAGTTATAGGCAAGAGTTGGTGGCACTGGCCACAAACATTACCGTTATTATGTTATGTTATGTCATGTTTTTTTGTTGATTTCTGTTTATGATTGTTATGGCGTCGGCATTGATCTACATTTTCTTTTAAAAATACAATTATGTTTTTAAGTTAAAAAGATCCAACTGGTTTTATTTTATTTTTCTCTTATACCGTTAGTGATCATTTTTTTTTTTTTTTGTTACTATGTCCTATGCCACCTACAAGTTATTGTCGTATATTTATTAAATGATTGTGTAGGTTCATTAAATTATTCATAAAAAAAAGGTTTTTAATATATTTTATGAAAAAAAGTTATACGTTGAATCAATTATTTATTGTATAAGTTGCTTAACTTTATACTAGCTATTAAACATTGCCTATTTGTTCGTTTAAAATGTACCAATAAACTGTATTTGTTAAAAAATATTTTAAATAGAAATTTAATTTTAATAAAAACTATTAGAATCGAGTTTTGATAAATATATTAATAATCCTTTTAAAAATAATTAAAAATTTACAAATTCATAGCTGTCACTGAATTAAAATTATAAATTAATACGCCAAAATATTCCAAATTATATACGTCTTTTAGACATACAGTTTTGAAATTAAAAATTTGTGCTAAATTATTCATTATAATAAATTTGAAAAATAAATAATTTTTTACAGTAATTGTAATATATTTGTTAAATGGTTGTAGGTTCATTAAATTTTTCATAAAAAAAAAGGTTCTAATAATATTTTATGAAAAAAAGTTATCCGTTGAATCAATTATTTATTGATTAAGTTGAATTTATGAATTTAAAGATTATTAAGTAAAGACAATCAATTATGTGTACCATTACAAGTATTATCTTTATTATTAAATGTACGGAAATAACTATCGTTATTCGTTGAAGATATGAATGTTCAGTTCTGATTTAAATAAGAAAAATATTGATTTTATACGACTTCAAACGAACTAAAGACCATTCCGGTTATATGACGGAAGTAAATATAAACTTAGTATAGAGGAAATAAATTAGAAATAAAAACAAAACACTTACGTCTTATCTTACTGTCATATGTAAATAATACATAAATATAACTTTTCTATTTAGAAACTATTGATTTTTTTTTCTATAAAATATATATTTTCATTTAAACATGGAATTTTGTTTTGTAAAAAATATTATATAAACAGATGTAATAGGTTTAAATGTCATCTCATTTTATTGCATAGTTTCTTTCCATAAAATAATTATAATGCTATCCATATCAAATACACTATACATACTATATTATTTTTGAATAGTTTACATTTTAACATTTACATTTAAACATAAATATTTAAGTAGCTAATAAAATAAAAAACCCAGCACAGAGGGGACGTGCACATAGTTTGATCCAGTATAAATGATATCTGGCAGTGATTAAAATCACTATCATAAAAAAACTAAGATGCAAATCTGTAGATAGTGTTTCTTCTTCTTCTTATTTCTTGCCTTAATACCAACTTCTTGTCATCGGCCACCCTTATACTAAACTTCCACTTGACACGATCTCTCACATCATCTACGCTCACATCAGCTGTCCTTATATCTTATGCTTATATTCAATAGCATCCCTCCATCTCATTTTTGGTCTTCCTCTACCTCTTCTTCCTTCAAAATTCTGTAGATATCTAATCTGTAGATGGTGTTTAATTTAAAAAAAATTATGGATTATTCCAAAAGCTACATGACCTCCTATTTCCTTATTTATAATATAATTAGTTTTATGATTTATATGTGAAATAAATGAATATATAAAGGAAATATATGATTTATAATGAATAATTAAAATCACTATCATAAAAAACGCTTCGATGCAAATCTGTAGATAGTTTAATTTAAAAAAAAAAAATTTGTCAAAAAAGTAGGTCAAGTGAGAGCTGAGAAAATAAATGTTAGCTACAAAAAAAAACACATAGTAAAATAATATTTATAATGAATTACTTCTCACGAGAGGAGACTACAGTAATGGGATTCTTGATATTTATTGAAGTTATTGAATCTAAATGAGATTAAAATCAAATGAGTTAAACATTTTTTTCTAACTCAAAAAGAATTAAGAAAAATTTCAGTGCCACAGGCATGCAAGATCCAAGTGTTACCGTCTTAGAAACCGTACGTCTCAATCGTCACTTAATAAAATTGGAAATTTAGCTAGTTCAAATTTTAAAGTTATTTTTCTCGACTTCAAAGAAACAAAAAAATTAAAATATGTTTAATTTTTTATACTATGTCAATTAGATTGATAAAATATTTATGAAAATCAGTGTAATCCCCTTATAATATTATAAAATACAAAACCAAAAATTTTAACACAAAAATAGCATATTTTTGAATACGGTAACTATATTCACCTTTAAGAGAAAATAAAATCCAAATTTTTTTTTTTTATATTAAAGTATATTACATAAGCTTTAATTTAAGATATATATAAAAGTGTCAGTATTTCCGGAACACTTTCAAAAATTAAGTTGAAAAAATTCTACTTTCTATATGCATATTTATGTTTTGAACCCCCCCCCTGTATTAAGGGAAATGGTCCGATTTAAAAAACAAGTATGTCGAATTAAAGAATTATATAAATATTATTTCTTATAAAAAAATTGTATTGATCCAACTTCAAAAAGTTATAACATTTTAAAGTTAAAAATGTAAAATATAAAATCGAGAATTTTAACACAAAAATAGCATACAGTAGCCATTTTCACCGCGAAGACAAAATAAATTCTTTTTTTTTTTTTTCATAATAAAGTATATTACATAAGCACTAATTTAAGATATATATAAAAGTGTCAGTATTTCTGGAACACTTTCAAAAGTTAAGTTGAAAAAGTAAATTTTTTGTGAAAAAGTTGTCATTTTGAATCCCTCCCTGTGGGCAGGTAAAGAGTCAAATTTATGAAAAAAATATATCAAATGATAGATAAGGACATTATGCATCTATAAAACAAAATTAAATTGATTTGTTCAATTTTGAAAAAGTTATGGCAGTTTTAAGTAAAAAAATTAGCCATTTTTAAATTTGTAATTTTTTTGTTGATTTCACCCATTTACGGGGAACGACAGAAATTTTTTCAATTTTTGGGGGTTATGTCTTCGACTAAATATGATTTGTGATCTTTTGGCGTATCGTTGAAAGAAATCGTTTCGGTGAGAGCTGAGAAATAGTGGTAACAGACACAAAAAAAAAGAAAAAAACACATCATAGTAAAATTAACTTCTCAGCTTCGCATCGAAGCTAAAAAATAAGTATGTCGAATAAAAGAGGTATATAAATATTATTTTTCATAAAAATATTGTATTCATCCATAAATTTTTCAAAAAGTTATAGCATTATAAATTTAAAATGTAAAATATAAAATCGAGAATTTTAACATAAAAATAACATACGGTGGACATTTTAACCGTGAAGACAAAAAACTATCCGAAATTTTTTTTTCCATTATAAAACATAATACATTAGCTTTAATTTAAGATATATGTAAAAAATTCAAAATTTCCGGAACACTTTAAAAAGTTAATTTTTTGTGAAAAAGTTGTTATTTTGAATCCTTCCGTGGGGTAGGTAAAGGATCAGATTAATAAAAAATATATATATAATGATAAGTAAAGACATCATACATCTATAAAAAAAAATTATATTGATTTGTTCATTTTTAAAAAAGTTATAGTAGTTATAAGGAAAGAAAATGAAAATAATTTCAAAAATAACTGATTTTTAAAATTGTAATTTTCTCGGAGATTTCCCTCATTTACGGGGAACGAGGGAAATTTTTTCAACTTTTAAGGGTAATGTCTTCGACTAGATACAATTTGTGATCTTTTGACGTATCGTTGAAAGAAAACGATCAGTGAGAGCTGAGATAAAGTAGTGACAGACACAAAAAAAAAAATAAACATATCATAGTAAAATTAATACCTTCTCAGCTTCGCATCCGAATTAAAATGAACTAATTGAGAGAATTACAACTAATCGAAAATAATTTTTTAAATCATATTACAGAAGTTATTAACATTCTAAAATATAGATTAGAGGTAGAGTGCAACACAGTAATAAGGTATAAAGAATTAAATCGAGTTAAATATGAAACTTAAAAACATTAAAAATGATTTTTGTAAAAATTATTATTTTAAGAAATCAAGTGAATATGAGTGTCTACCGAGTAACTATTTATTGAATTACCATGTAATTTGTTAGAATAATTTAACATAAGGCATTTATAGATAGAACATTTTTTTTAAGTGCAACCAATTACAATTTAATAACTTATTAAATTGACATTAAAAGTTGTAAAAACGTATAAGTAACCCTTTAATAATTTTTATAATTTTTTTAATAGCTTCGTATCGAAGCTAGAATAGATTAACATAAAATATAATAACAAAAAAAAAAACGGGTATTTTTTACATCGAAATAACATTTTTTGTTTTACTTTAAGGCCATTTATATATAAAGAGCAAGTTTTAAGGTTTTTTTTAACTTATAGTACATGTTGTGATCATTAATATTACATATGTTTGAAGTTTGTAGAATATCCGGAACATTTTGAATGATTGAGTTGAAAAAGTTCTATTATTTTTACGTATGTTTTAAAGTTGTTAACCCTTCTGTTTAAGGTGAAATATCTGATTTTCTAATAAAATTTGTCAATTGAAAACAAAATACTTAAAATACTTATAAAAAAAATTATATTAATGAACACATTTTTAAAATAGCATTTCAGATATTTATTTTGTAAATTTGATATTTAAACTATACATTTAAGATCATATTATGAGGTGGTTTATATGCATGCAATCTGACATGAAAACAGTTTTGGGTGACGATATACATATTTCTTTTTATTATTTATTNCATGAAAACAGTTTTGGGTGACGATATACATATTTCTTTTTATTATTTATTGATTTAAATTTTTTTATCGAAAATTGCAATTAAGTTTTAATTATATAATATTAAATCACCTCTTTTGGGTAAAGAACAATCTTCAACATTGCCATCATCTTCGTCAACCGTATCATTTAGTTGATCTAAATCGTTATCTTTGTTGGATTCATTTTCAAAATCGTTATCATCTTTTTGATAGTCTTTTTCAGAAGGATTGATTCTGTGACACACCTCAAAAGCTTGCCCTACTGTACGCACAATTCGCATAGCTTGACTCTATAACAACAATAATTATATGTATACATAGAGTGATTCACATAATATAAACCATATAATTAATCAAAAAATAAAAATTATATTTATATTTTTATATTTGTTTCTTTTAGTTCAATGATTCTCTCAACTTTTCAATCATAATGAAATTATTTAAGTGAGAGGAATAATACGGCCGAGAAATATTTAGTTATAAAAATAGTAACATGTTGCTATTTTTAGTCACCCTTCACCTCCAATCGTTACTTTCAAATTGTTAATAACTTTGAAATAATAGTTCAATAGTTTATAAGTCATTTTCTTAATTAGATCAATATCTTTTAAAAAGGCCTGTTATTTAAGGATGTTACTATTTGAAAAATTAAAGATGATACCTTTATAAGGTATAAGGATATTGGATGAACCCAAAAAAATCTTTATGACTGAAAAATTGAAAGAAATATTGAACTAAAATAAAAAAAATGTTAATATTGTTTTTATTTTTTGATTAATTAAGCGAATCGTGTAATATATAGATTATTAAATTTGATAATTTGAAATATTTTAAACTTAATACCTTAACAAATAAATTATTTTATTAACATATGGGATAAAAGACAAAATCATTCAATTTTTTCAAAATAACCTAAAAACTTTTATGTTAAAGGATTAAATATCTTAAATATCAACAATTTATTATAAACCATTCATTTCTATAATCAAAAACAATAATAATTTTTCAATCTATTTTTATTTGAAATCTCTAAAATTGACAAAATATTATCAATGTGTTGTAATAGGCCCTTCACACAACCGAACAAAATGTTTATCTGTTATTCTTTCATCTTCTACCCACACACCAATAAATTACAAAATACAATCAACACAATATCTTTTCACATAACATATAAAACACAATAAACACGGTCTATCCTCTAAAACACTACTCTCACGATCACGCCACAAACATCCGCTCCTTCAAAACACTTACAAAAACCCTGAACATAACGTATCATAAAAATGTAAAACCCAATAAGAGCTGGACGATAATCATACACATCTGTGGAAGGGGATCCGGGGAATACATTAAGAACATCCCTTGGCATATACTCCTCGTACCGTTCCGATCCAACCGATTTACGATCACGTCGTCCGGCTCTCTTTCGCCTTTTAAACCAATTTTGTATTTTTTTTAGTTTTGTTTGTTTTTCCTTTAATATTATTGTATTATGTGTTTTTTAATAATAAAATAATCGAAGATACTTTTTTATACAAATTGGTTATTATAATTCATACTTTCTTTATTGTTCCACGAGTGAATTATTGTATCAATAAGGATTATATGATTAAGGTAAGAACATCCTAATTTATTGTGCATGTATTTAAAATAGCAAGTGACCCTCGAACAACACACCTCGAGAAAAGGGATAGTTCTTATTTTGCGATACTCCTATAACATTCCCTTCCATCTTTATCATACCTTCCCTTTTCTTATTTTTGTTTTACAACAAAGTGGCGCCCAACGTGGGGCTCGATAAGCTTGTTTTTTTTTTAAACTAAGGGTCTTCTTAACTATTTCACAATTTCATAAAATATCTAACAATAGTAACACATTACACTTTTACAAAATACAGGCAAGTGAGAACAAAATTTTTAGTGCATAGAGAGACGTATGAAAGCAAAAATCGATTGAAACAGCCCAAAGAGATAAAGTTAAAAGATAAAAAAAATAAATTAGATAATCTGAAAAAAGAAAAAAAATTAATAATAATAATAATAAGAGATAGAATTAAAATAAAAAAAATGAATAATAATAAAGGATTAAGTAGAGAATGTGACAATAAAAAAAAAAATAAAAGAGAGAGGTTCTCAAATATAAAAATAAACATACCGAAATAATTTTCAGTGTAATTAACATATTGCACACTAAAATTATTTTAACTCAATTATTATAAAAAAATTTTTTTTGTAATTATAAAAGGAATATAATTTCATAAATAATGGAAAACAACTCTAATATTAAAGAAACAGACATATTTGAGTTAGAAGGTGAAACTGAAGAACAAATAAAAGCTGTAGAGTATATAAAAAGACTTAGGAGAGCTGAGTTAATAATTTTTTTAAAAGTAATTAGAAACTAAATCAACATTAAAAAAAAAAAAGAAAGTTTTAAAATATACATAGCGATTATATTGGAAAAGAGTTTTATACTAGAAAATTTTTTTAATTGTAAATAAATATATAACACAAAAATGTATGGAAATTTATTCTATAATCCACCAATCTTTTCGGGCGGTAGAAATGAGAGAATAGATGTATTTTTAAAATCATTCAATAAGGCTTCGGAAATCAATGGTTGGTCAGAAAAAGATAAATCGCTTTATTTAGTAGCTTTTTTGCAAGATGCAGCTCTTACTTTTTATGATAATATTGAATCAGAAAATTTGTCATGGATAGAATTAGAGAAAAAATTTATGAAAGAGTTTGAAACACATAGTTTTATTTTACGTTCAATGTTAGAACATAAAAGACAGAAAGATAATGAGCGAACAGTAGTTTTTGTTAATGATGTTATAGATTTATGTAGAAGAATTGATAATAATATGTTAGAAGAAGAAATATTACGAAATGTGATGAAAGGCTTAAAACCATGTATTATTAGATCTATTGGGATGCTTGAGAATCGTAATTTAGATGAGTTAAAAAGGAATATTCGAAAATACGAAATGATAGAATTTATGATTGCTGAAGAGACAATTAGTAGTCATCCTAAAATAAAAGAGCCTGTAATAAATAAAAAAATTAATAATATTTCCGAAAGTAATAATTTCTATGAATTTCAAAAATCAACTAATGAAATTGGAACTTTGAAACAAAGTCAGGCGCAATTTTTTAATGACAACATTAATTTAATACCATACAATAACCAATTTAAAAATCATGATGTATCAAACAATAAAGAAGAAATTTGTCGTATTTGTAATGTAAGTGATCATTCAGCTCTTATGTGCAAAGTAATTCCAAAACCCATTAATTTAAAGTTAAACAAAAATTCTGAAAAAAACAATTCATCATTGTATTCAGCAAACAAATATAATAATTATGTCTTAAAAAGTAAAAATATCTCTGACACATTAAAATTCTATGCTACATTGTATAATAAAATTATACCAATTATAATTGACACGGGATCAAAGATTTCTTGTATAAATTACACTTTAATATTGAAAAATCAAAAGGTTAATTCCATAAGCTTCAAAGTAGAAAACCCAGAAAACACATCACCAACAATTTTAGGTGAAACAACAATTATTTTACAAATAAATTCTGTATATTATCACATTAAAGCTTTTGTTGTTAACAACTTGCCTTGTTCTATACTTTTAGGTCAAGACTTTTTATTAAAAAATAATAGTGTCATTGCTTCTAATAAAAAAATCATAACTTTACATAATAAAACTTCAATACCAGTATTTATTGATAATACTTTAAATTATGATCAATTAAATATAGAATTTTATGATAAAAATATCACCAAAAATGATGTGTCATTTATTAATTATTATAAAAATAGAAAAAAATTCGATTGTTTAATTTTAAATGTAATAATAGTCAAAATTACAGACAAAAATTCTAATATAGGATCAAAGAGCATGTCATCTCATTTCATAAACACTGAACCCAAAAAAGTTCCTAAAATGTTAATACAATACAATAATTCACAATTAAAAGATATCTTTAAAATTAAAGCACCACGCGACGAAAGTTTAATAAAGAATTTTATCTTTCGAAATTCAGATAAATTAGAGTTAAACAAACAAATTGATAAAAATATTAAAACAAACACATCATATAATTTTGCAACATCAACATTAATTAAAACTAATAATTTACATTCTAATTGTATAGT